CTTTTTGAGAACCGAGACTTGAATATATTGTCGGTTTTGATCACAAAAGACCGACTCGACTAAGTCTTCAATTCTTGATCTTGTCCTTGAGTCTTTTAGGTCTTGTTCCAAGCCATTCTTCACGCCTTGAGTTATTCAACGAAACTCTTTATATCCACGGCGGTTTGGCAATTATCAAAACCTGTCAGACATGAACACGACTTTAGTTTATCGTACAAAGTGTGTTCCAACAACTTGTGGAGAAGAGGTAAGAAGATCAACCTAACCGGTCTTCACCCAAGCTAATTAAAAAAAATTGAACTAAAACCGTGCCACTCCCCGACAACGGCGCCATTTGATGATTGAGTTTTTCGGTAAGTCAACCTTCCCATTGAAGGGTTAGTTTTCTCCGAGTGTCGTGTCTCTCGAGGAGTGGACGGAGGGAATTAGCTAATTTTTCTAACTAGGCGAACGTTTGGACAAATCTAGAAGTCTTCCCGATTCGATTTGAAAATAAAAATAAACTAAATTACTTGGTGCTTTTTGAGAAAAAAGAATAAATAGTACGGGTATAGAACTAGACTTTGGGCCAAGGCATCATCTGAGTTAACTACTGTTGTCACATATTTAATCAATAATTGGAATAAATATATTTCTGTTACAAATATTTCATTAACTTATCCTCTCTCAAGGTATCATTAATGTGTTCTAAAAAGTTTAGCTTAATTAATTTTACTAGTATTTTAACCCGTGCCATGCACGGGTTTGAACGAAACTTACTTTTGTCGGTTCAAAAAAAAATTTTCAATGTAATATTTTTCCTACTAAAGAAAATATATTTCTAACACAATTATTTAATATTGTAGACATTAGCATCATAGTACAAAAAACAATATACTCCATACTTATTAACATTTTGTAATGAAAATTCTTATACACGAAATTGAAAGAGTACACAACAGAGTACTTCTACTGTTTCATGTCACCTACACTGGGATTTTGGCAAGTGTGTGACCAATGCTTACTATGTTTTCATCTAACAAAACATAAACATTAACTCTTCATGTATCAAAGCCGCATCAAGATGATCAAAATATAGAAAATATATTATGCAATTTTTTTAGACTGAACAAAAATACTCGTATCGAATAAAGCAACTAAATAATGCAAGACTACCTAAAAATAAACTTTTCTAACTTACATGTTCAACCACGAAGATCATCTCGCTTGAATTTGTTGTCCTTATACAACTCTAGGGAGATTTGAGGTGCAAAAGATAAAAAGGACAATATACACATATAATTGGCTTGTTTGTCATCGGGCAAAGCTAAGAAATTGAGGCTAAAATGACTCTAGGGAGATTTGAGGTGGAAAAGATAAAAAGGAGAATATACATATATAATTGGCTTAGCTTGTTTGTCATCGGTCAAAGCTAAGAAATTGAGGCTAAAATAAGAATGTATTAGGCATGTTCAATACATGTCTGTTTGACAACATAATGTACCACTCAAAAAGTTACAATGCTCGGTGGTACTATTTATGTGTTGTTGAGATTCACCAGAGTTGAAAAGCCTCAAAACCCTATAAATATAGTGTAAAGCTAAATTTAGTATTTATGAACATATATTAAAATATAGCTAGAGGCAAATAGATTATACAACTCATTTTCAGATTTGAAATTAACCCTACAATTATGATAAGCAGGTCTTACGTTAGATATAGGAAGTTGATAAGCTCGACGGCTTGAATGCTCGTAAACTAATCCAACAACACCACACCCAACAACACCTGTGATAAATTAGTATATATTATAAAACATATACTCTCTGGTGCTTAAAAAGTTTGCATTAACTACAATAAAGATTACAAACTTATTATGTTGTTTTACATCAATATGGGGTATGTATAAAAAATCACATAAAATGATGTGCATGGGCCATGAAAATAACAAAATAATGACAATATGCAGTTTTTTAGACTGAACAGAAATAATTCCTATGTGTATGCTAAGCGCAAATACTCTTATAGTATGGTACAAATTATGGAGCGACTTAGGATAAGCTACCACCTTTACACTATGTTTGGTTCAAGTAATTTGAGAGAAAAGAAAAGAAAATGGTATGGAAAACATTCTGTTTAGTTTGGTTACTAATCAAGGAAAACAAAAGAAAACAAAATTTGAGACAAAAAACCAAGATAGGAAGAAAGAATACCAAATCCCTTTCATTTTGGCCGGTGAGGAAAAGGAGAGAAAACTTTTTATTTTCCTTCCTAAATCCTTGAACCAAACATACGCAAAAAGACAATGATAGGATGCTTTTGAAAAAGTCAAAATAATTTGAGAAAGTGTCACTACTCAAGTCCTGCATATTTATATTTAAAATGTACTTCAGAATGTTTCTTTAATGAGCACATATTTGAGAACACATTTAAGAGTTCTCATGTACTCCCTCCGTCCCATAAAACCTTTCTCCTTTCTTTTTTCATCCGTCCCAAAAAACACTTCTCGTTTCTATTAAAAAGTCACTTTTACCCTTTATTTTTTCATACCATACCTATCACATCATACCTTTTTACTAATAATCTATCTATCAAATCATACTTTTACCTATCACATCAAAGGACATTTTTGGAAATTCAATACCAAAATACACTTCCCTTAAATCCCTCTTCAAAATCAAAACTCCCATGTTTTGCGGGACGGAGGGAGTAGTAAAAGACTCGCGTTTTGCTGCATAGGCCATCATCGCTTCTTAGAATTGAGTTTTATCAAAATTATCTTCTCTATCATATATTAAAATAAGAAGGTAGCAAAACAAAATCATTTTGTAATTAAGATTGTTCACTGATACCCCTTTAGTCTGGTGTCATTAATACTAATCCTTGTTTTTTGCTCAAACCTCATGATCTTGCACTATTTAATGATTTTAGAGGAAAGTCAATCAAATTTATATGTAGAGAAATAATATGGGAGTAAATAAATACAAAACGTAATCATCAACATAAAAAATGCAGAAGATATTGCTCATTAATAAAATTTAAAGAATAACAGAGACCTGTAAATGGCTTGCAACATGTTTTCTTGTCAAGCATGGCTCCTTTCTGAATTGGACGATTGTCTACAGAACATCTTCTGATAATCAAGTGGAACCGTTCAGACTTCAAAGTATTTCTAAACTGTCAAATATATTCTTAGTTGGGGTTATTTTGAAAACGGAACACAAAAAAACGAGTTTAGTAAAAACTGCACAGGTCTAACGGTACCTGGCTACCGTGTACACGGCACCAGGGTACTGCCGGTAGCCAAGTGAACGTACCGTTGTACGTTTCACCTGGGTGGTACACGGTACCCCCCTACCGTGACAACGGTACCTGGGTACCGTTGGTAGGCTTGGGAAGGTTGGCAACACCATTTGAACCCAGATACCGCCAGAGCCGAACCAATTCTATGGCTTACACGGTACCCCCTAACGGTAGGCTGTACCGTTGTCACGGTACCTAGGTACCGGACGGTACGGACCCCTACCGTGAAGGGTACCGGATCCGTTACAGCACTGTAGCAAATTGCCAATTTAAATTCAAATCACCCCTAATCACTTCCTAACGGCATTTAAGGTTAAAAATTCATATTTTAACATTCCAAACTCCTATATAAAGCCCCTCTAAGTCTCATTTTAATCACAAAAACTTTCCAATTAAATCTAAAGCCTCTTTCTCTATTCTTGAGTGTTCTAAAAGCTTTGTTCTTATTTTTCTTACTCTTTTGAGTATAAAGCTTTCATTATTTTTATACACTCACACACAAGGGCATTTGTGATTCATTATTTTATATCTTGCCTATAGGCTTTTCTTGTTGTTGATTTAATCTTTTGTTCTTCTCCTACCCAATTCATATTTGTTATCATTTTGGTAGAGAAGCAACACCAATCTTTTATTGATTTGTATAAGGTGTGGATAGCCTTTAAATCCTCATTGTAAGGTTGAAGATAACCTTAAAATCTTCGGTTGTAAACGATTGAGATAGCCGTAGTAAAATCTCATTTGCTTATTGGCAAGGGTTGTTTTCAAACCTCGTTTGAGTCTTCTTAGTGAAGCCAAACAAGTTAGTGGAGGTTAAATCCTTGAGGAGGAGCCTCGAGGTACTGGAGTAGGGAGTTCCCGAACCAGTATAAAATCGCTTGTGTCGTATTTTTATCTTTTATACTTTTCTTGCTCCTTTTCCGCTACTACTTTGCGTATAAGTTTCTGTTTTTACGAAAAACTTGCAAACACCCTAATTCACCCCCCTCTTAGGGTGTAAACCGACTTTCAATTGGTATCGGAGCAGGAAGTTTGATCCTTTCACACTCATCTATTATTTCTTTTTACGACACATGGATTCAATGAACTCCCAAAGCATTACCAAGCCACCATTCTTCAATGGGGATAATTATGGCTATTGGAAAATGCGAATGTAGAATTTCATTCAATCTATTGACTATGATTTATGGATAGTCACTACTCATGGTCCATTTGTTCCTATGACAACTGTAGGTGAACACCAAGTGCCTACGCCAATGGACAAGCTCACAACCGACGATAAGAAAAAACTCTCTTTGAATGCCAAAGCATTAAATGTGTTGTTTTGTGCATTGGGTCAAGATGAGTTTGCTAGGGTGAGCTCTTGCAAATCCGCAAAGGAAGCATGGAAGCTCCTAAAAGCCACCCATGAAGGAGATAAAGACACAAAAGCTACCAAGATAGCTTTAGGAACATCCGAGTATGAAAACTTCAAGATGAAGGCCAGAGAATCCGTTCAAGATATGAACAAACGATTCGACCTCATTGTCAACAATTTGAGTAAGCTAAATAAAGTTTATCCTACTAGTGAGATAGTCGAGGCGGTTGAGATCCCTCTTCAGTCCGAGCCTCGCAACCAGAGGCGCACTGCCCTGGAGGACTCGGGGATCCGAGCGCGGAAGTGCACCCTCACGGCTGAGGAATTTCGCAAGGCGAAGCGCCTAGCCTTGGCGCCAGGTGTGACCGTGCGTCGTCCCACCCCCGAGCAGTTAGTCTATGATGCTCCTTCGGGTTTCTTTGCTGTCCACCTCAAATCCCACGAGTACGGGTTTCGTTTCCCCCTCCATCAGTTGGTCATAGATTTTTTCCAACATTTTGATCTTCTCCCTTGCCAAGTCGTGCCCAAATCCCATCGTTACTTGGCCGGGTTCCTCGTCCGTTGCCAAGGGACCGGGGTTCGCCCCGATCTGGCTCGCTTCCTGTTGCTCTTCCGGTTGGCGAAGTCATCTGGTCGGGCCAACTTCGACTCGGGTTCGTACGCCTCTATCTTCCAGAGGCAGAAGAGGCTTTTCAAGACGAGGAAGGACTCCGCCAAGAGTTGGAAGGGGAAGTTCATCTTCGTTTCTCTCTCCTCGGGCTCCCCTTTTCGTAAAGAACCCCTCAGTTCCTTTCGACACCGCTCCGCGTGTGTCACCTCGGACAAGATGCTTGAGGACGTAGAGACGCTCTGCCAAGGGGGGCCCTTCGAAGTCGGCTCGGTGGTGACGAATGAGGCGCTAGCGGCACTCGGCTTCGTCTTCCTATCCCCGGAAGACACCTAGAGGAGCATCGAAGAAGGCCCCTCAGGTCAGTGCACTCTTACGCTTGACCGTCCGTGCGTCGCGACGATTCTGGATTCCCGCTCCTTCTCGCAGCTGTCCTTCCCTCACCACTTGTCTTCTTTGATTTTGTGCAGGTGAAATCATGCTCTCCAGCGCCGAGCGGATGAAGCTCATGTTCCCGGACGCTCCGAGCGGCAACTCCCAGGCTCCTCCCTCGGGCAGCCGTCCCCCGACTCCCCCCGTGAAGCCGACACCCGAGACGGCGCAGAAGAAGAAGAGGAAGGAAACGGCCTCGGCCGCCGAAGCTTTGCAGGGGTCTGAGTCCCCCATGATGAAGGACTTCGGCCATCCCAAATACGTCAAGGCGGCCTTCCCCGCTCGGGTCTCCTTCCTAGACCGGGATTACGACCCGGAGACCTTCCTGCGCAGCTTAACTCCTCCAACCGATCGTGCCAAGATAAAGGATATCGACCGGGAGACTCTAGCCTCAGATACTTTCCACGAGCTGGGCTCAATAAGTTTCCCTTATTACACCTTACAAATGTAATTCATCTGTGGTGCTCAACCCTTTGTTATTTGCAGGCGATGATGCGCATGGTCGACATGATCCAGCGGCTGCGCGCCAGCGAGGACGACCGGAGCAGGGCTTATGTTGAGATAGCCAACCTCAATGAGGCGTTGAAGGCGGCCAAGGAGCAAGCTCGCCAGGCCGAGGAGCGGGCTCAGCAACTCGCGGAGGACGCTGCTCACAAGGCGCGCCAGGAGGCTCGCGATCAAGCCGTTGCCGAGTTCCTAGCATCGGATGCATTTCAGGAGGAAGCCTTCACTCGCATGAATGATTTGCTCAAGGCATGGGGACAGACTCATGAGGGGAAGGCATTCGCTCGCTCCGAAGGAACGTCGTGGTACAACCTCGGTCTGTTCCGAGCGCAGCAAGTCCTCTCGGAAAGGTTCCTCGCCGGGGAGGACTTCCCCGAGCCATGCGACATTCCTGATGAGCTCGACACTTCCATATACTACCCGAATGGCGGGAACTCAGCTGGCGAGCAGCCGAGTGCCGAGTGATATGACTTGAAACTTTGTTGTATTTGATGTACTGCTGCTCAAGACTATTTTTTTTGAATTCGGATATGTTATGACCCGATGCTTTGTACGGATGTGCTATGCCTCTCTTTTGTGTTTAATTTTACTTCGTCGTTTCTTTGAACTTGCGAACTCGCCCCTTCCCTCGCCCAACCTGAGCTCGGCCGTGCCGAAGAGAGGGTACCTCGGGGCTTGGTCCCTTTTTTGTCTCCTCGTTAACCGAGACAACCTTGGGACCTGGGACCTTTTGACCTGCCATCTGTACGACCATCCCCGTGCTGCCACGTGTACCTTCCTTCTATGGCAAGATGCCTATATAAGGGGGGGTTCTCACGATTTATTTTATTCATATTTGAATTTCTCCAAATCTTGTCATGCCGCGCTCGGCCCCCACTCCCCCCGATTCTAGTGAGATGCGAGGAGAGACGTTTTCCTTTCGTAGCTACTCTCTCGGGGGCTCTTCTGCCATACCGACCAAATCTTGGCCGAGCTCGACCCTGCCGCCCTCTCTACGGGACTCTTGGGACTCGGACTCTGAGTTCGAGTCGGTGCACCCCGATCCTTCTGCCATGATCCCGGGGTTCATCTACTAGTCGTCGGAGGAGGACGAGAGGACCCCTTCTCCGTCGGCTCCGCCGGTCCGTCGTGAGGTCGTCGCCCCCCCGGTTCCTGTCGCCCGCGGTGGTCGAGGTCGCCGCCCTCCAGCTCCCCCCGCAGCGATTCCAAGCGAGAGCTCCGTGGCATCCCACCATCCGAGCCGTTGCTCCCTTGAAGACCCAGGCTCGCCCAGCTATGACGAGTCCACTGGGCACTCCGTCACCAGTCGGGCTCCTTCACCTTCTTACCCCCCACCTTGCCCTTGCGAGCGGGGGTGGAATTGTGGCATGCACTGAAGTCTACCCGTACTTTTAATTGCAAGGTGTTTAATTATTGTAAGGCGTTCGTGCCATGTACTTGCCCGTTTTCCGGGATGAATAAAATTTGGATTTGATTAAGTCTTGTTTTCGCTTTTCGCCATTAGCCTTAAGGGTTGCACTCGGCTCTTCCTCCCAGGGGAGTGTCAAGCACGAATGTTCGACCTCCATCCGGGAACTGCGCTCGGCTCTCCTCCTGAGGAAGAGTGCCGAACACGAAGGTTAGACCTTTTCCGGGAAGAGCATCCGGACATGGGCTGCGCTCGGCTCTTCCCTTGAGGGGGAGTGCCGAGCACGAATGTTGACCTCCATCCAGGAAATACGTCCGGATGTGGCATGTGCTCGGCTCTTCTACTGAGGAGTAGTGCCGAACACGAAGGTTAGACATTTATCCGGGAAGAGTATCCGGACATGGTCTGCACTCGGCTCTTCCCCTAAGGGGGAGTGTCGAGCACGAATGTTGACCTCCATCCGGAATACGTACGGATGTGGCTCGTGCTCGGCTCTGCTACTGAGGAGTAGTGCCGAACACGAAGGTTAGACCTTTATCCGGGAAGAGCATCCGAACATGGTCTGCGCTCGGCTCTTCCCCTGAGGGGGAGTGTCGAGCACACCTGTCGGACCTTGTTTGCAAAAAATTCCATTTCATTGAATTCAATCATGGTGTTGCGGGTTCCATTTCTCGGGACCGTGTACATTCGAAATTTATTGATAAAACTTAACCAAGTTCTTAGCATTCCAAGTCCTTGGCACATCCCCTCCACTCGGCGTCTGCAGGCGGAACGTTGAGGGGCCTACCACTTCTTTGATGATGTAGGGGCCTTCGTAATTCTTGGCAAATTTTCCACCTTCCAGGGGGCGGCTCACGGACCTCTTGCGCAGCACCCACTCTCCTTCGATGAACCCCCGTGCGCGCACACGCCCGTCATGGTAGCTCTTTACCTTCCTTCAGGAATTCTCTGCTCGTATGAAGGCCGCTTCTCGCCTCTCGTGCACGAGATGGAGCTCGGCTGCCAGGGCTTCTTCGTTACGCTCGAGGTCGAAGATCTCCTCCCAGTGGGTTGCGATGGAGATCTCCGCAGGAGCCCTCGCCTCGAATCTGTAGCATAAGGCGAAGGGGGTTTCTCCGGTCGCCCTTCTAGGCGTGGTCCGGTAGGTCCATAAGATGTAAGGCAACTCCTCTGCCCACTCCCCTCGGCAGGCCTCCAACTTCTGCTTCAGCCTGTCGACTATCGTTCGATTGGCGTTCTCGACCTGTCCGTTCGTCTGTGGGTACCCAACCGACGCATAGCTGTGCTTGATCCCCCAGCTCCCAAGGAAGTCGTTAAAGGGCTTGGACTCGAATTGTGTCCCATTATCCGTGATTATGTGCTCGGGAACGCCGAAGCGGCAGATGACTTGCTTTGCGAGAAACTTCTGGCATTGAGCTCCGGTGATGCTTGCCAATGGGGCTGCTTCCACCCACTTAGTGAAATAGTCAATGGCTACGATGACGTACCTCACGTTCCCGGTGCCCCTAGGGAGTGCACCCACGAGATCCAACCCCCACCGCGCGAACGGGATGGCTGTGCTGATGGGGGTGTAGTTGGTTGAAGGCCTCCCTGGTACCTTCTTGAACTCTTGGCACACTTTAAACTTCTTTACGAACTCCGCGCAATCCTTAACAATTGTTGGCCAGAAATATCCTTGAAGGGTTATCTTCATTGACACCGCGTATTCTCCTTGGTGGGCGGAGCAGATTCCGGCGTGCACCTCCTCCATGACATGTTTCGCTTCGGCTGGTCGGAGGCACCTGAGTAGCGTCCCGTTGTATGCTCGCTTGTATAGCTTCTCGCCTTCCAAGGTATACCCCGGTGCCCTTGTCCGGACGAACTTGGCCTTCATCGATTCGTCTCGGAGGGTGCCATCCTTCAGGAAGGCGACTATGTCGTCCGTCCAATCTCTGGGCTGAGCATAGATCATTGCCACGGGGGAAGCGTGGATGCTCGGCTCGGACAGCTCTTCCACATTCGCCATTCGCCATTCGCCTGATGTGCTCGGGCATGTCTGAGCTCAGCTTCGACAAGATATCCGCCTCGGCATTCTCCGCCCGAGGGATCTGCTCGACACTATACGCGGTGAAACTTTTAAGTAGTTCTAGGGCCGTATCTCTGTATTTTTTCATTCTTTCGTCCTTCGCTTTGAACTCTCCCGACACATGGCCAACCACCAACTTCGAATAACACTTTATCCTTAGCTTCGTCGCGTTCATCCCGGCTGCCAGACGTAACCCGCACAAGAGCGCTTCATACTCCGCCTCATTATTTGATGCCTTGAAGCCGAATCGGATTGAGTAATATGCTCTGAAGCCTTCGGGAGCGATGACTACCACTCCACCCCCCGAGTTTTTGGCGGCGGAGGAGCCGTCGGTGAAAACTGTCCACCAGTCGTCGGCTTCAAGTTCCGGGCTCGGCTCTTCTCGGGCGGTGCATTCTACCACGAAGTCGGCCAACGCTTGGCCCTTGATCATTGGCCTTGGCTTGAACTCAATCTGGAAGGCTTCAAGGAACACCGCCCACTTGGACATGCGAGAGGGCGCGTTCGGACTCCTGAGCAACGCACCTATAGGCTGCTGGGAAAGTACCTGGACCGGGTGAGCTCGGAAATAGGGCGTCAGCCGCTGCACGGTTGAAACCACGGCCAGCACTGTCTTTTCGGCCACCGAGTACCTGAGCTCGGCACCCCTCAGCGTCTTCGCCGTGTAGTACACTGGGTGCTGAGCTCCGCCTTCTTCTCGGACTAGGACCGAGCTTAGTGCATTGGGCGACACTCCCGAATAAAGATATAAGGTCTCTCCGGGCTCGGGTTTAGCGAGGACCGGCGGAGAGAGGAGATAAGATTTCAGAGACTCAAAGGATTGCTGGCAGTCTTCCGTCCACACGAACCCTCGGGACTTCTTCACAGCTTGGAAGAATGGAGCGGCTCGATCCGCTACCTTGGAAAGGAAGCGGCTGAGCGCAGCCAACTTTCCGGTCAAGCGCTGCACCTCCTTGACATTTCGTGGAGCTTCCATGTCAAGGATGGCGCACACCTTCTCGGGGTTAGGCTCAATACCGCGCCTGCTCACCATGTGTCCCAAGAACTTACCGCCTTGAACTCCGAACGTGCACTTCTTCGGGTTCAGCCGAAGGTTGTACTTCTCCATAATCTTGAAAAATCCTTCTAAGTCTTCCGCATGGGTGGTTGCTTGCTTGCTTTTCACAATCATGTCGTCGACGTACGCTTCCATGCTCTTCCCGAGGACGGGCGCGAAGAGCTTGCTCACCATCCTAGCGTAGGTTGCCCCGGCATTTTGAGTCCAAAAGGCATCACCTTGTAACAATAAACTCCGCCGGGGGTAGTGAAAGACGTCTTCTCTTCGTCTTCAGGGTGCATTCGGATTTGGTGGTACCCGCTGAAGGCGTCCATGAATCTCATGAGCTCGCAACCCGCCGTCTCATCCATCAGCTGGTCGATGTTTGGGAGTGGGAATGGATCCATGGAGCATGCCTTATTTAGGTCGGTGTAGTCCACACACATCCTCCAGGTATTTCCCTTCGGAGCCAACACTACGTTCGCCATCCATTCCGGGTACCTCACTTCTCTGATATGCCCAATGCTTTGGAGGGTGGTCACTTCCTTGGAGACGAACTCCCTCCGCTCGGACGAGAGGAAACGCTTCTTCTGCTTTACCGGCCTAGACTCCGGGTTGACCGCTAACCGGTGACATATGATCTTGGGGTCCACCCCCGTCATATCCCCAGGTCCCCACGCGAAGATCACGCGGTAGGCGGCGAGCACTTCCACCAAGCGCCTCCGCTGGCTCGTCGTCAGGCTCACCCCGACCTTAACCTTCCGCTCGGGCACTTGTGGGTCGAGCGGCACTTCCTCGACTTCCTCGGCGGGCTCGGTCGAAGGCCGAGCTTCCAGCTTGCGCATTTCCTCTTGCGCGTGTACGACCAGTGTCTCTTCCCTCGGCAACTTCTTCGTGATTCTTACGTAGCATGATCGGGCCAACTTTTGGTCTCCCCTCGCCACCCCGATGCCGGATGGAGTGGGGAACTTCATGCATAAGTAGTATGGGGAGATCACACATTCCAAGTCCTCAAGGCCGGGCCGCCCCAGGATCATGTTGTGCACACAGTTGATGCTCACAACCATAAACTCCATTTTCAGCTTCGCCTTGTGCGCACCATCCCCTACTATCACGGATACGGCGATAACTCCCTCGGCCTCAAGTCCTTGCGGTTCAAACCGAGGTCTTGGAATGTTTTCTCATACATTATATTGACTGAGCTTCCCGTGTCCACCAAGGTGCGGTGTACTATGGCGTCGTTGATCTCTATCTTCACGACTAAGGCATCCCGGTGGGGACTCGGCGTGTTCGGTAGAACCTTCTCCGTGAATTGGATTTGCTCTCGTCTTCCGAGCTTGGGCGCCGGCGCCTGATGGACCTTGGCGACAAAGGCCATGTGCTTCCACCTCTTCCTCTGAGCGGCGGAGTCCCCGCCAATGTTTCCCCCATGGATAAATCCCACCGGATATCCTTGGGCTTCGTCTTCGTCCAGATCGTCGCATTCCCGCCCGATGTACCTCTTCTCGGGGTTCCTTGCTTGCGTCGCCACTGCGATTGGCTCAGTCGGCTTCCTCCAAGTTCTTCCTTCCGGCGGCCCCCGGGAGGGGGTAGCCGCGTCGTCTCGCGGAAGCGGCCCTCGGGCGATGAGTCGCTGCATTTCCTTCTGGAGAGTGAAGCATTCCTTAGTGTTATGAGTGTTGTTACGATGGTACTCGAAATACTTAGTTCCGCTGGACACCGCGTAAGCCTCTACGTGGGGGACCGGGGAAAGGGCAAGCTCTCGACCCGCCCCCACGGGGGCGCCCACAGAGTATACTCCGGCCGAGGACGTCCTCGGGCCCGCGGTATAGTCTTTCTTCTTCTTCCTCTTCTTCACGGTCTCTCCCGAATCCGCTGGAGATCGCTTAGCCGGCGCGGCCTCGGATTCCGGGGCGTCATCGAACTCCTCCGAGGCTAAGAACTTTGCGCGCGCCAAGGTCTCTTGGTACGTGGGGGGAGGATTCTTGCGGAGCCCCTTCCCCACCTCTCCGCGGGGAAGGGCTACTTGGAACATGGCAACCAACGCCTGGTCATCCGCCCCATGCACGTCTCTTGCTTCATTCTCCCACCGGACTATGAAGTCGCGGACCTTTTCTCCCTTGCGGATGCATATGTTGAGCAGGTGGGAATAAGGCAGCCTCTGCCTTCAGTTGGCCGCGAAATGCGTCAAGAACCTCTCCGCCAGCGTATCCCAATCGTCAATGGTTCCCTTTGGGAGCCGGTTGAACCAATCGCACGCGGAGCCCTCTAGCGTCGCGAGGAAGCACCTGCACTTGACCTCGTCCGGGGCTGCCGCCGCCTCCATCGAAGCACCTGCCTTCAGTTGAACAACTTTTTCACTTCAACTTCTTTTTGGTACTTTTTCAATCCGTTTGACCTCAAATCTTTTGACGAGGTGTATCTCCACAATTGAATATATACTTCTTACTTCATGGATTTTCACTATCTTTTGTATCCTTGCTCCGTTGCATTCCATTTGCATAATCTTTTACACTTTTGTATCACTTTTGACTCAATGTTTATTCTTTTTAAAACTAGACATAACTTTTGTGCACTTTTACAATTATGAATAAAAACTTATAAAAATCATTGAGAAATTGATTTGTTTGATCTAAAATTGGACAATAACACATTAAATATAGAGAAGATAAGAGCGTACAAAACGGACTTATCAGAACCCCAACTCACCAATCAAGCATGAAAACATACTTCCACTATAGAAAAAGTTTATAAAAGAGCGATTTTTTTCATTCTAACTCTCATGCATAGACCTGGCAAGACAGAACCAGAACCGATTACCCGAACCGAAATATCCGAAACCGAAACCGGAATGACCCGAAAAATGAAGATCCGATCTATAACCGAAAACCCGAAATGATCCGAATTGAACCGAAACCGAATTAAATAATTCATATCTGGTTTTAAATCTGAAACTGATTAGATCCGAAACCGATAATATCCGAAATGATTAAACCCGAAACCGATAAGATCCGAACCCGATAATACCCGAAACCGATAAAATCCGAAACCGATTAGATCTGAAACCGATAATATCTGAATCCGATTAGAACTAAAATTAATAAATTCAGAACTATGTTTGCCTTTCAATAAGCATATTATATTTTTAAATTTTTACTTTTATTTTACCATTTGAACTAATTACATTACTTGCTCATTCTGTAACACCCTAATCCGTCCAGGTCTGTAGCCCCTTTCGGACTAAAGTATTGATTTGGTAATCGTGATAATTTAAAACAATTCAAACATTTTTATTTATAAATAATATTCCATACATAATTGTAGAAAATACGGAGTGTTTAATAATAATGCGGAAGCGACTTTTAAACATGTCTCATAACAACATAATTATTTATTTTTGTTCAATGATCCACCACGACTGTCTCGCCCCTTCTGCTACCAGGAATTAGCCAATCATTCATTCTACCTACCTGCGTGTAGCAAATAAAACACACTACACGCTCAGCGGTGAAGCTGAGTAAGCATATCTAAAACGTCGAACATCCAAATAAATGGAATCTCAATTCATAATCAACCATTTGATATCATGCACACAATATATGATTCAAACATTCATGATATTCTCAATATTTTATTCCAAGTCATTTGATATTCAATATCTCAACCATGCTCTTAAATTATTCTTAATCTAAGGCCAAATCATTTTATAACAAGCTCTTAGCTATTCCTAGTCTAAGGCAACATTTCTAACCA